AAATACATGTACAATAATTTAAGACTTTGTTATGGCTAAGGCAGCGTCGCACTTTTCTGTTTTTTGTCGTTTTTTTCCAACGAGTTGTTCATTTTTCTAAAGCATCTCGCCCAGACGAAACATCGTTCCCGCCAGATTGGCTTGGGCCAATTTTCGGAGAGTCAGGATCTATAGCCTACTCGGTAATGGGGCCACGTAATCGGGCCACGTAAATTAACTAAATTTATTTTTAAAAGTATTCAGTGTCGCATCTTTAATAAATTGCTTAAGTGTACATCTGATGTGTTTGTTCACACTGAGCTGTCTGTTTACAACTGACGAACGCCGAAAAACTGACGGGCTAGTTCTGTGTGTGTGACAGCGCGCTCAGAAAAGTGAGGCTTCAGAAAATTAATGCAAAAAAATAACGGAAAAAGTGCTAGTGTGACGCCGCCACAAATAGGTAAGCTTTTGGTTATGTTCTGTTTGGTTGGATGGATTTTTTATCTCCTTCCAGAAGTAAAGTGTCCATCATCCCTCGACTCAACATGGACTTCTCTGTGAGTTTCTTCAAATTTGAAAATATATATATACATATACTGTATAGCAAGAAAATTAAGATTACTATTCTCATGAAAATTAAATATCTTTGCAATATTAAAAATAAAAGTTTATTGCTTTTTATTCAGCAGGCGTCGGTTTTCCTTATCACAGGTCTACGCCGCCGTGTTCTCAGAGCCACGAGATAACGGTTGATCCATTAATGGCTCGCTTATTTTAGTTCTTCCTCACGCTCTGACGTTCAGCGAGTAGACTCTGGACGTCGTTAGTCGAGTCGTAGTAGCGTAGATGCTGAGAGAACCCACAGACATAGTGGTGGGTGATAGAAGCGATCTTAGCTGGCTTTTTATGAGTATCTAGACTAATCTAACCTAAGTTAACCAAACCTAAACTTATGTAATCAAATCCATTCCAGCCAAACCTAATTCTAACATAGCTTAATCTAGTCCTGCCTAATATAATCTGACCTAACCTTGCCTTGCCCAGCGAAATGTTACCTTCACCCAGTTTTGCCAGATTTAACCTAATTTAATTTATACTCTCCCAACCTATGATCACCCAGTCACAATCTACTACTGCACTATCTAAACCAGACCTAACCTGGCCAGTCTACAGTACGTGTGAATGTGTATTTACTAATTAGCCTCGTAGAATGAACATTGCCAAGCTTCTCTCAGTCTTTGTATGTTAGACAACTTAAAAGATAAAACTGAAATGTGGTTTTACTCCTGGTAGATAAAACAAGGAAGGTGATGATGGAAATACTGTAATAATAATAATAATAATGTTTCCAGAAAATCATTAGTCTAATGGTGACCTAAAATGAATTAGAAAACGCATTTGGCCACCACCCTTCGTGTTATTGTGTTGTGTGTGTGTGCCATTCTCACACAAGTAATACACACCCTCAATTATTTTCGTGATGGTCGCCACACTTGTTCGTTTACTAATGGACTATAATATAAAGTCTTATTTGGTAAATTATGTTTACATTTGTAATATTTTACTATTTTGAAAAATTACGGGTTATTATTATTATTACTCGAGGACAATTGAAATGAGAGGGTTTACCTAGTCCAGTGTGTAGTGTAGCCATGGCATAAGGTTCGTTCAACTCTCGGCCTGGATCGACCTGACTAGCGTGACGCGACACTCGGTTTTTAGGTGCGTTGTGTCAGTCTAATGTTCACTTTTCATGACTTGAACGATGGATGTTTTACGCGCGTGTGAGATGTTTTATATATGATTTTCGTGCAGTTGGGATAATTTAATTATGATTTTCGCTCGAGAGGGATTTTGTTTACGATTTTCACGTGAGAAGAATATTTATGATTTTCGCGTTTGGGATTTTTTCCCCTAGTGTGGCGTAATGCAACTTGTACCCAGGTCTTGCTCACCTTGGTGAAAGTTATTAGAATTACATATAACACTGACTTAAGTGGGTTTAAAATTCCGAGAAGAAAGAGAGAATACTGTAGAGGGGAGAGGGGGAAGGGGAAGAGTTGACGAAAGATGCTTCGTTTGCCCAAGTTAATTACATTTTTCTTGTCTATAAAAGTCACGACCTACTTGACCCCAGGGAAAGCTGGTGTAAATGTGAGTTAGTAACTTGATTATTATCCTGTGTACACTTTTACCTTGAGAGCTGAGGGTGAAAGGTGTTTATTATGCAGAACCTTACCACGATATTCTGATATTGATCTGTCATTGTGTGTGGGCATGTGTGACTGGTAGCACACACACACACACACACCCACACACACACACACACACACACACACACACACACACACACACACACACACACACACACACACACACCACCGTCACCTCTTTTCTTGTTCAATAAACTATCAACTTATGACCTGATTTCTTTCACTCTCTCTCTCTGGTATACATCGTCACCATCAGCCAGTATCACACACCACAATTAGATGAAGGTTTCCTCTTTAAGCTTCCACAGGCTTCTTTCGCCATCCTACCTTCACCAAGAAGCCTCTTTAAATCTCGTGATATTACCTCTAATTATTCTCTGTCTTTTCCTATATCTTGGGATCTTCTTAAGGCTATCATTGGCTACACCAGGATGATGTTATTGATTACCAATGTTGTGATTGGCTAGACTTTGGATGTTATTGTCTGCACGTAGGATATTATTGGATAGACTCATTATGTCATTGGCTAGACTCAGGATATTAGTGGCTAGACTCAGGATGTTATTGGCTAGACTTGGGATGTTGTTGGCTAGACTCAGGATGTTAATGACCACACCATGAGTGCATTGAGTGGGTGTGTCAGGATTGATATTCATAGAGTTGGCTGATGCACTTAGAAAGAATGCAATTGCATCTGTATTTTCTTTCGTCAACTTTTATTTTTTAACGGAGAAATTTTTAAGTGACCTCATTATTAATTTTTACGGATTAATTGCTATTATTGTCGCCAGAGGGGACTATAAGGCTTACTTGCTGTCTGTCTGTCTGTCTGTCTCAGTTCGTGTGGTCTACAGTATATGTCTGTGTCATGTCGTACTATCGCGAGGCAGGTTTAAACATTTCCAGAAACTACCTTCAAGTGGCTCCTATTACCTCTCTCTCTCCCTCTCTCCTCTCTCTCTCTCTCTCTCTCTCTCTCTCTCTCTCTCTCTCTCTCTCTCTCTCTCTCTCTCTCTTTCTCTCTCTCTCTCTCTCTCTCTCTCTCTCTCTCTCTCTCTCTCTCTCTCTCTCTTTCTCTCTCTCTCTCTCTCTCTCTCTCTCTCTCTCTCTCTCTCTCTCTCTCTCTCTCTCTCTCTCTCTCTCTCTCTCTCTCTCTCTCTCTCTCTCTCTCTCTCTCCTCTCTCCCCTCTCTCTCTCTCCTCTCTCTCTCTCTCTCTCTCTCTCTCTCTCTCTCTCTCTCTCTCTCTCTCTCTCTCTCTCTCTCTCTCTCTCTCTCTCTCTCTCTCTCTCTCTCTCTCTCTCTCTCTCTCTCTCTCTCTCTCTCTCTCTCTCTCTCTCTCTCTCTCTCTCTCTCTCTCTCTCTCTCTCTCTCTCTCCTCTCTCTCTCTCTCTCTCTCTCTCTCTCTCTCTTTTTTGTCTCTCTGTACTCACTCCCACAGCCTTGGGAACTTCGTGTTTCTTTTTATCTTGTGGTTATCAACATATACATGGATCACACGCGCCTACAACGATTTATTGTATTGATATTATTATTGTGTGTGTGTGTGTGTGTGTGTGTGTGTGTGTGTGTGTGTGTGTGTGTGTGTGTGTGTGTGTGTGTGTGTGTGCATAACCAGCCTTGAGAAACTCACTATATGTACTTTTAATATATTTGGATCACCTGGACATTGGCTCCCCCACCCAGCTGGCTTAATTTACCTGATGATTAAGCACTAACGTGCCTGGGGAAGGGTTAGGTTAGGTTAGGTATGGAAATAAGCTGGGGGGCTAACCTCGACTTTCTCCAATAAGATTTTAACAAGATAACCCCTCCCCCCTCCCTCTCTTCTCTGCCCTCCCCTCTCTTCCTCTTCCCTCCCCTCTCTTCCTCTCCTTCCTCTCTTCCTCTCCCCCCCTTAGTACTGGCTGTGTGGGCATGGTGTTCCTTAATCGTCATCGTTACTTAAACTTGTGTAGGACACTGTGTTACTTCGTTGGTGGTAGTTGATGATGTTTCACTTAAGTGTTTGTGTTTATCACTTGTGTGTGATACGTAGTTGGAAGTTTATCACCTGTGTGTTACCTGTACGCAATGGTTTACCTGAGGTGTCACCTGTCAGATCCAAAGGGATAAGTTGGCGGAGAAATATAGTGTGACGGGAGTTATGGTGACGAGATGAACTGATAAAGAGCTTTTTGGTGAGGCTGAGTATGTGATCACTTGATTAAGGGTGTCTTAGGGGGGGGGTTTAATTATTCTCAAGCGATGTATGCAGAAGGTGGAGAGTTAGGATGGGAGACTTTGTGTCTGTCATGGGTTTGTATTCACGAGAGTTCAAGATCACCAGGAATTCCATTTTAGTCATGGGTTTGGTTTGGAGAGACTTGACTTGGCCGAAGACATTATTTCCTTTTGAGGGGAATTATACAGAGTATTTGAAAAAGATTTATATTAGAAATACTAAAAAACTTACTTAAATAACCTTAATGTTCATGTTTTATAGACACCCTGTATCTAGGTGGCCAATTTGAACTTTATCTGCATTTACTGCTATTTGTTGCATTAAGGTGATTTTCAGATTTCAGGGACCCTCTTATTATGATAATCCCACAGTGTCCTGTACTGTATTTACACCTGTAGCTTTAGGTATTGATATACTGTATACTGTTCCTCTATATAAATTGAATTGGTTTGTTCATACAAAATTTAAGTTAATATGATATTGATGAAGTAATTATATAATACTGTATTTATTGTTTGTGTGCATGAATTTGTTTGGTCTTTTTGAGTGTATGTGTGAACCTAATGTAGTTCTTTTTCCACAGGATGTAGCAACAGTTGGGCCTGTCGGAAAGAATCAACAGGGAACAGATGCCTCTGCAGATTCCCCCCAAGATGTTATTGTTTCTCGCACTCATGGCACAGCCACCACCGGCGACCGAGGGGATGATGGCTTTTCTTCTCAGTCATCCATCAGCGCAAGACCTCGCTCAGGGACCTGGAGTGTTGCTAATTCTAGGAGAGTTAAGATCAAAGCTGAGAAAGAAGAAGAAGGTAAGGGATATCTCATCTTAGAATTTGACTGGTATTTTATTCTTTTTTCATCCTCCACACACACACTTTGATATTATCATTGGAAGATAATTAATGTTGCCTTTCTATATACAGGTTAATATTTTTTATGAAGTTTAATAATAACCAGGTAATTTTAGAACAAAGGTTTATTTCAGGCACCAATTATTGCCCTCATTATCACCTGTCTACCCATCTGCCCTTGTACACCCCACACCCCTCCTCTCACCATAGCCTGCTGGGTGCCTTGTGAATAATATCCACCATGCTGGTACAGTCACCTAAAAAAGTCCTGTCGCGAACCACGATTCAGACTCGTGAACCAGAAGCAGTAGACACTGATACATTATTCTGTCCATAAATGCTTCGGATTCAAGAGTCTGAATCTCGGGGTTCATGGTTCGCGACAGGACTTTTTTGGGTGACTATACTTACATTACTCTGCACAATTCTCCACAGCCTTATACTCTTTCACTGTCATATACATTACATATCTTCCTCACCTCATTAGTAAGTGGTTCTAGGTAATGGTCCTGGATTCGATTCCCAGGTGGAGTGGAACTTGGGGCAAGTCCCTTCGTTCAGCACCAGATGGCTCTCTTTGCACAGTTAGAGAAATTTGTATGGGTTTTAGGCCACCTTCCCATGGCTGGGTGGTGGCCATTAGGGAGTCAAAATCATAAGTCGATAGTTTTTATTTTATTTCTTTTTAATAGATTTATACCCTGTACTTGTCTTTAGTCATTGGTACTTAGTGATATTTTTCATCAGCTAAAGTAAATAATACTCCACTGGGAAAGTTGTGTCATGTAAAGGGATCTCATGTGCAGGTATTTTCTATTGTTGTTGATGTAGGTATAGTGTCAACAGCTGGGGTGGTGGGGTCTTTCAGCACACAACATAGGGTCAGTTTCTACACTTGACATTACAGTACATTTTAGAAATTAGGGAATATAAACTTTCTTAATAATTTTAATTTACGGTTAACAGTTACCCTAGATATAAAATGTTGACAATGTTACATTAATACATTATTGTTAGATCTACAAGTACTGTACACAATAATGGGTATCATTAAAACCAAATACAATGCACAGTACAGTACTTGTTTCTGTTAGTATAACCTTGTAAAATATACTACAGTATTATAATTTGGGGAAAATTTCAGTGACAATCACAGCTCATACCTAAAATATTGTAAGGAATTGAATTAATTAAATTCACGTAAGTTAACAAGACCAAGAAAAAAAATGAAGATGTAATTTCCTGAACACTTCCTCTGTGAAGACTAGGTTAAGTAGACCTGTTGAATTGGTGTCAGTATTATAGTGTACAAAAATTTCACCACAGAGAATTATAAGCTCTTTACCATGTAATGTATACTCTGCCTTTGTATGTACACTGTACAGTATTTGTATTTACTGGTACAGTACTTATTTTTTCATTGCTGTAAAATATAACTTCAAAGGATATGCCATGAAATTGGATTTAAACCTACTCAAAAAGGCTTATCTAAAGAAATATTTTAATTACAGTACACTTGTTTTGAATAAAGTTAAACAGTGTATCTTGGTACATGAAGATCAATACACTCACCCAAACATTGAGTGAGTTGCTGTAATATATTTTACGACAAATTAGTTTAGGAGGTTGATTTGGATCTAGATGTTGAGGTGGCTCTAGAAATGTATTCCTTAAACCCATGAATACAATGACTTCACCCTTTGAGTACAGTTACTTAAAATCTTGAGTCCTGTATAGTGATTTAACCCTATGAGTACAATAACAACCCATTGAGTATGGAGACTTAACTCCCTAAATTAATGATTCCTATTTAGGGGTAAATAACCCCATTGAGATAAATTGACTTTTATTGTTAGGTAATTGGGAACTCTTTCCAACGTTTAGGGAAGTATAGAGTGTATAAATAAATTACCTGACTGCAATATTTTGAAGTGGGTGCTGAGACTTATGACTGAGTTCTTAATAATATACTTGTGTGAGTCCAGTTTTTCCTGCTTCTACCACATGAAAACAAGGAACTGGAACAGGCTGGACATGTCACCTGATGCCACATTGGGGCTATCCACCACCAAACCTTGGAGTGGGCAGCTGGCTGCAGCACAGCAACCCTGTCCATCTCACTGATTATATGTTGCTTGTGTTGTTTATGTTGTTTTTAACTGTTGAACTAGAGTTGAGGGAACGGTAAAACTTTTTTCTAGCTGTATATATTCTTCTATCAATCTTTTCTCGGTTGTTGATCCAGGTACAGTACAGTAGTTTTTTGGAATCAGGTGAGGTGGAGTCATTATGGAGGCAGCCATATTAAAGTGGAGTGATGATTGGGAACCACTGCCCTATGTATAGTGTCATCATATTGAAAGGGCTAGGTCATTGTACACAAGAGGTTAAAATATCTTACTCAATGGGTTAATTCATTTGACTCAGGCTTGGCAGCTTGCTCGAGGGGTTAAAATGTTTTTGACACGTTACTTGCTCCCAGCAGTGTTTCTTTGCTTGTTTAAATATATGCAGTGTCACTCACCAGGGAATAGACTCAGCAGCCCTTCCTCATTGTCAGTGAAGAAATTTTAAGTTACAGCTGGAACACACACACACACAGAGAGAGCTGACATAATAATAATAATAATAATAATAATTGACGGTTTATTGAAAAAGTTCTGCAGCCCGAAGGCTGAAAATATACATTGGACATAAATGACTTATTACATACATTGGTGGTTTAACAAAAGCCTTCATTAGAGAGTAAAAGGAACATACAGTGAAACATATATAGATTATTGTAGGTGTTGAACAGCAAAAACGTAGTGTAGTAACTCCTCCCAGATGGTGTTAGAGGGACCTCACGTGGTGTAGTAGTTCCCTCACAGATGGTGTTATGAGGGCCTGCGTGGTGTAGTAATTCCCTCACAGATGGTGTTATGAGGGGCCTCCCGTGGTGTAGAAATTCCCTCACAGATGGTGTTATGAGGGCCTCCGTGGTGTAGTAATTCCCTCACAGATGGTGTTATGAGGGGCCTGATGTGGTGTAGTAATTCCCTCACAGATGGTGTTATATGAGTGAGGTGTGGTCCCAGGCCTTCCTATCGTAGACGGATTAACACATCGCTGGTTGTTGGGTCTCATGGGCCGTTGTCACTGGGTACCTGGGACCTCACTGTGTGAAGGTTAACTTGGGTACGACTGTTACTGTTGAGTTGTTCTCACTGACTTAAGCACTGTTCACCACTGTTCACCTCTGTTTAACACTGGTTCCATTCCTTTCCTAAATGAAATAGTAACTTCTGGCGAGAACTTGTTGATATTCCGGTGGGGAGGAGGGTTCAGGGGAGGGAGTTGGTATGGGCCAACATAACAGTTGACCTGGCTGCTCCGAGAGGAGCGCCAGGTACGTCTTGACCCTTCGGTGGTCAAGGGTGTAGCCTCTGTACATGTGGAGAACTTCTTGCCTTATAGCTTGAAGGGTCTTCATATATAGTAATTATAATTATTATAATAACATCATCTTTTTTCTTTATTAAGTCAACAGGAGTCTACTTTTTTTTTTTTACATATACAGATTTCTCAGATAAATGTACAGTACTGTATATACACAATGACTTACAGGATTTTGTGGTGATTGTGTGCATGCTTGTGTTGCATCAGAAACATTTCCTCACTTTTGATGTGTGAGGTCTCCCACAAACAAGGACAATGTTGCTGTTGTGACATAAACATTCACGCAATCGCCACAAAATATGTAACCATTAATTATATTTTTTCTTAAGACACCCTGGACTGTAGTGTCTGGAGTTCTCTATTTCACAATTTTATTTTTGGTAAATTTCCTTAACTGAAGAACATAACAGATCCTAAAAAGAGTTTCAGTTTTAATTTATTATGCCTTTTTTCTATCAATGTATCTATCTATTATATATATACCGGTATATATATATATATACAGTATATTATATATCTCTTTCAGTCTCACTATATACACCAGAGTGACCATTACAAAACGTCTGCAGTGAACCACAGTCTTTGTACCATACATTATATAGATGCTACACCTGCATAAATACACTTCCCCATCATTATCCCATTCAGTCATTCATTCATTTTTTCCTTCCATCACTCATTATCTTATCCTCTTTATTCATTCCCATTCACCACAGCTGAGCACATCTTTTGTCATACAGTTGTCAGAGAAAACAAATTACATTAATTGCAGGGAGAGTTGTGTGTTGGTTTTGGCTGCCTTATGTTGTATTGAGAAAGGTTTGGCTGGTTGGAGAACATTCCCCATCGCTCTAATACACTTCTTGCTCTTCTTTTCACGTCCATTTTCTCCCCTATATCTACTCTGTAACAACATTCCATTATCTGTGTCATGGCTGGTTTCCTCACAACTCACTCACTCCAGATTCATCATGTAGCATTGTATTAGTGCTGTGGAATGAAAGGTTGACTGACCAAATTATCCCAAGGTGGCCCCAGAACCTAATGGGATCCCAGTCTTAATGCTTTTGTTGTGGCCCTTAAAGACTGGAGCTCAGTTGAACAGTCATTATTTAATTCATTATAGTAAGTACTGTACAATGCTGGTTACTTCCTTTTATGTGGGTGATGTATAGGAAAATCAGGCTGGGTGTTAAGCTTCGATGGGTAAGGATAAGTCAAGTTTGAATAGGTTAGATTAACTTGAGTTAGGTTAGATAAAGTTAAGATGGGCCAAATTATGCTGAATTAGATTATGTTTGGATATTTTTTTTTATAACAGTGAAGAGTTAGGCCTTGTGGTGTGTTGGAACAGAGAGAGAGAGAAGTGGATGAAAAGAACAACTCAAGAAGTCAATATAACACTGACCTAATGTTTACTCCACACCAGTCAACACTTCTTACTCTCTGGGATTTTATCATAAGTTTCCCTGTCAAGGTCTCATAGACCCACAACTCTCCCCCCCACCTCATTTACTCGCCTCTTTTCTCCAGTATATTAAGTGGATGTTATTATATTGTCCTTCACTTTCATGTGTGTTGTAAATCAGGATGTTTTATATTAATCTCTCGTGTCTCTTGTAATTAAATGTTTTATTTTCTGAAATCTGCTAATATTTTTAGATCTTTTTTCAAATGTATATTTTTATTTATAATATGAATTGTGTTATCTCTTTTTTAAAATGATGAATTGTATACATTTTTAACACATTATGCCATTGACTTAAAGCAAAACTTTAGATGTGAGGGAAAGATTCATAAATTATATACTGTATAGATATTGTTTTTATTAGGCAGCTGAAAATAGCTCAGACACTCATTAGCACAGTCATTAGAAAAAGCCTCCCTGACCATTAATCAGTAGAATGCTTACACAAACATGAGCCAAGAGAAACTCCTCTAGTGCCCATTGTTGATGTAAGTGTAGAGAATTAGGAGAGAAATCTTCGCTTACAACCATGTTTAAAGTGGCACCCATCCTCATCCCTAAGCTTCCGTAACGGATGAGATTCCATCCCCCCCTCCCGAGGAAGGTAAGACTAGATTTCAACAGGTAGCTTCTTAAACCCATTCCGTCTTTGGTCTTGTGAGGTGTATTGTTAGCATGATGCGATAATAAGTGGCGCTTTGTATGTTATATACTCCTGTAAGTCTTTTAAATAGTTTTGAGGCCACAGTTTCATAGCGTGTCCCGAGATGCTATTATTACTGCTTGATTTTTATGGTAGTTTTATCAGTCATAGTAATTGTTCTTATATGTGTTGGGGAAGTGAAGTGAAGAGGAAGTAAACTATGGTGGTACTGTAGGTGTCTCATCATAACTAAACTGTCCAGAGCTTTGGTGAGAATTTTTTATTTATCATTCAACGATGCCCTCAGACCTTCACACTCAGAACAGACACACAACACAAGGCCAGTCAACAGTACTCTCAGGCTCTCACACTCAGAACAGAAGCACAAGTCATCTCACAATTGTTTTTTGTGACCTGTTGATAATGTGATTCGCCCTCCGAGGCATCAATCCCCGTGTGTCAGTTACTGTATTGGGAAACACATAACTTGTTCTATCTGGTCCAGCAGCCGTGTGTCTGTTTAACATTGCGTCCATTTTCTTGTTCATTATACAGGCATCGGCAGGTTTAGAATGTTGAAGCCTGTGTAGCATTGAAAAATGTATCTACCTGTATCTGTAAAAGGAAAATGTAATAAATAGGACGTGAATGAGCATGTGAAATGAATAACAGTATTGTACATATAATAATAGTAATAGATAGTAGGTAAGGACAGTAGGCATGTGAAGAGGAATTAGCAGCACAGTACAAATAATAATAAGAGACAGTATACTATATAAGTGCTGTAATTAGTACTCTGTACTTAAGTGTAATAATGTGTACAGTAGTTTAATTGGACTGAAACACAAGTTTTAAGCTTGAAATAGGTCAGCAACTTCATTTCTTCTGTAATTTTTATTACAATGTGAGACGGGAATGTGAAATTATGCAAATACTACATGTACAGGTATACTGTAGTGACCAAAAATTATTAATTTACAGGTAGCAATTTTGCATTATTATAGAAATTACTTATGCTAATTTTCTGCTTGTAATTTTCATCTTTCTGGAATTTTTTCGTTCATGGTCTCAATAAGAATTTTGGTATAATTTTTTATTACTGTAGTACTGTATTGTGCAAAGCTTGATGAACAGCAGCAGAAGATAGACTTTTTATCTTCATAATGCAATAATATTAATGAATAATTGTCGTTGGTAACAAGGCAAGGATGTTCTAGTTTCTTGATGCACCATGTTGACAACAGACACAATAAACCAACGTAACATAATCTGATTTAGAAATATATGCAAGTTCATTAGTTTAGGTTAGTTAGTTCAGCCTAGGTTTAGTTGGTTCATTGTGTGTGATGCCAGTAATTGTGTACAGTACCTAGAAATAACATCCTTACCGTTGATAATTCCCCAAATTGGCAGCTTTTAATTATCATGTTCCTTCTCATAGCAAAAGTTAGAAATTTATTGCCATTATTAACAGTCAATTGTGTAGCCCAAATATCACTTCTAAAGAATTACCACAAACAGGACCAGGAAACCATTTTATTTTTTCAGGTAAAGCAAACTAACCAAACCTCTCCTAACCAAAACTTCTTAAGGATATTTAGGTTTTGTCAGGTAAGGTTAGGATCTGGTCAACTGCTTTGACAAAAAGCGGTTTAGCAGTCTTGTTTGTGGTATTTTTTAACATTAGCCATTTGTTACAAGTTAGGTTTTAGTTCTCTCTCTTGCTATTGGTTTATTTGTTAACATTGACTTCATATAGTGGAAGACAGTTGTATAGATTGATGGCTAAACCAACTTAAGAGATCCTTAACACAGATGATACAAGTGTTAAAGTAATAATTGCTAGCATTGAAAAGTACAGTACATGGATGAAACGGTACAGTGGTCAGTGTTTGGAAAAAGAATTACAATACGTACTAATCACAATCACGTAGATCTAAGAAATTACTTTTAGTACTGCGTAGAGAAATACTCAAGGTGTGAATTTACATGGTATTAGATAGAAAATTGTAGATGACGTAATGAATGATGGTGGGTGTGAGGAGTTAGAGTGTGTGGAAGGTCATCATGAGAGGTGTGTCTAAAGTGTGAATTAAAGACTGGGCGATATTTGCTTTTCCCATGTGGTACTTTGAGATGAAATTTAGACAAGAAAAGATAATGTGTCTGATTTTTATTTATAGGATTCAGACTCACAATGTATTAACTAATGATACCAGTGATGTCTGGAAGGTTAGTCTAGGTCTTCATTGGTTATGTTTGGGTAGGAAAGGTGAGGATGAGGTAAAAATGGTGAATTCTTGCTGTTTATAAAGCAAAATAAAGGTAGAATACTGAACCTGTATTAAGTTTGTATTCTGTATTGTGTGTCAACTGAGGACCAACTGCTTTTTTCCTTCTTACACTGTATTGGTCCATGGGGCAAAATACACCAAGTAATTTCATTTCTATGGATTCAATTTTTTGCAGTAGTGGTTTAACATTAACAAGTGGTAATGCTGTAGTTATTTATGTGGTACAAGTGTGTTTAACTACAATAATGTCTCAGTGGTAATTTTTGGTGTCATCAGTCCCTGGAAAATAAGATACTGTTGAAGGTCTTTTTTAAGTAAATGATGGAAAACTACTTTTACTTGTGTCAGAGTTGGTTAGGAAGTTGATATTCTGTTCCTTGATAAAGAATTACTGTATGACATTTAATTTTAATTCAGTATATTGGAGATTTGATTAATTCACAGGTAGGAAAGTATTATACTGTACACTATTGTTTCCTTCTTTATTATTTATCTAGTCCTGACCTGTGGCTGGTGTGGACACTGTACTTGACCTACAGTACGTGTATCAAAAACAAAGTGGTCTTGTTTACCTTTTGTTGTTCTTTTATTTCAGTTGTTCTATGTTTAATTTTATTTATTTTATTTTTTTTTAAGTTTCTCTGTTTATTTATAATTTTTTTCTGTATAATTTTTTTCCTTTGATCCTCACTATTTCAGCTTCCTTCCGCCAACGTCGTAAATCAGGAGATGACATTCTAGCAGCTGCAACTAACAACACCAGCAACGTTGCAAGTGGCCGTCGTAAAGAGGGAGGCCCACAGGGTTTCTTTGACTCCTTCCGGCCACGGTCTAAGTCAGATGCCAGAGCTATATGTAATTAGCCAGTTGTTGCGTTTAGATCATGACACTCTTAACTTCACTGAACCTGGTTTATGGAACTTTGGTCATTAATGTTTATTTAACTAACCTGTCATTAATTGCCGAGGAAGTATGGTATGCATCTTTCACCGCTTCTTGACTGTTTCCTCAGATTGATTTCAGTACTACTAACTACAGCACAGCCATTATTGCAAGCAAGACCTTTACTATTCTTGAGAATGGTACTGTATGTGTAATACTGTACTTTACACGGCTTTCATTTACTGTTGTCATTTCATCATGTGGACAGGAATATTTCAAGACAGGAAAGGTTTATTCTAAAATGCTGAAATTTTTTACTAATCCACCAAGGGAGTGAATTTGTGGTGTTACTTACATATAACACATGCTTGTGGGGTGTCACGTTGCTAACTTATTACATTGTCTGTTATTTATGTTGGGATAAATAAAGCACAGATGGTCCACTTCAGGGTTTGATATTGGAATTTATAATCATGTTGAGATCTGATTACATGTACAGTATCGTAATTTTTGGCCTATAATTTGTATTAGGAAGATTGTACTTATTATACTTGAGACAGATTATGCTTCAGTGTTTTCAAGATAATAACAAACAGTGAACAGTTTTTATCAGTCAAGTAATTGGTTAAATGTGACCCAGTCGTGAATGATCCTCACCTAACATAACTGTGTGAAAGAAAAGATTAAGATTACCATACCCAGGTATTTTCTTTTTATTCAGTTATTTGTGTGAACCAATAATAAGCTAAGGGCAGCACTGTGGAGGTCAGGTCACAGATTCACCTTAATATGGTATGACCTCTTGTAGATCATAGGTGGTGGGGATGTGTGTCAACCACAGTAGAAGTCTGAAATTTTAGACAATTACTGTACTGTACTGTACTGTACTGTAATTAAAAATTTAACTTTGAAGTACAATAGTTGAAGGGACAAATTGATACAGTATTAAAGATAAAATAAATAGGAAAATAGTAATTCAGTTAACATTATTGACAAATTAGGGAATTAAATGGCAAATTACGTTCATTTAATTGTCAGTTTCTTGGGGGTTTGCTCACCACTGAAGAATATGGTGATCAACTTCTGATTCATTACTGACAATGTTTGGTGAGATGAAACAATTGGATGTGATTGAGTCCAAGGTACAGCCATTACTCTGGGCACACTATAGCTTTTCCCATCTGTTGCTTATGGGCCAGAAATTATGATACTGTTATGTGAAAAGTGCATCAAATATCCTTTAACATGTGAGGTTCTTGGTGAACTGGCTTCTGGCTCACCAGGCCTCAGATGCTGGAGGTAGTGAAGTGATGTGTAGCATGTGAGCCAGCTATATGTGTTTGTCGTGTGAGGAGGTGCAATACTGTTTGTAGTTCTTGATTATGTAGACACTTTATGCTACACATTACAGTATATAACTTTATTATGTATAAGTTGTTTGTGTGTGAGTGTAGAGTTGTATATGTGGTAAAAGTAAATTACTTGGTAAATTTCATCAATAAATTTACTTTGGTTTTATTTTTAAATAAAAGGCCACTTGTCACGTTTTACAATAATGTGTAGTTTTGTCTGCTTTACATAATATCTATACTGTACTATACATAGCTTACTCCATGTTGTTTTTATTTTTATTTTATTTAATGTTTTTTACACTCATGACAAAGACCTATTGAGTCTAATACCCAATAAACACCATTTATTATACTCAAAGTTTTAAAGACTTTTTTGTCTAGTTGATCGTGGTTGACTTCTCTCCAGGTGGGAGAATGAAAATGTACTTGTATATGATATCTACTAAGTGATGACTGCATGAGATATTGCCACACTCGGTAATGATAATAATAAACTATTATCAGCATGAAGTGATAATATAATGAATATATTTAGCACTGCATTCTGTTAATTGTTTTGTTAATTGAACGAACTTAACCTGTAGCCTCTCTATTGTAACCAGATGACATTGTGTATGGCATAACCTAACAAAGTACCTTGTCACACTGCACTGCTTACACAACCATGTCATTAGTAAGCGTTTGGGAGATGACATAATGAAACTATTTTGTGTGCATTGGTGACCTACATCTTAACACAATGTTTCAATAATTTCATCATAAGAATTGCATAAAATGTTTGGTTTGGTTATTCTTAAAACTTGTTCATGTTACAATTTCTGTGCTGTCATGTGAGTTCCCTGTTATATCACCATAAAGAGCAGCAGCCATATTGAAGTTAATGAAGATACAACACTTGAAACTCGCCTAAGAACAGAATTAGTATGTAAATGATGCTTAATAAGGCTTTTGGTCAGAGAGTTATTCAGTCAGCTTGACGACACAAGATATCTCAAACCAACCTAACTTAACCACTTGCAGCCTAACTTAACCTAACCCAGCTTTGGTAACTTTGTATAATCCAAGTTAGGTCTGGTATGTTTGGTTGTGATCAGAAAAGTTTTGATGTTGTATCTTCTTATCCCCGATGGCTAGTTCCTGTGGGAAAATAACACAGAATCATCAGAGTTTTCAAAGTAGTTTAGCATTATCATGTAACTTCTATTGCTGTTGAAGCTGTTGAATTTCTACACATATAGAAATATTGAACATTTGTGTTAAGATAAAAATAGAACAAAATGTGGTTTTTCCATTAATACAGATTAACAAATCTTCTTTTTTTTTTAAGCTATTATTTTGTTATAAAATTCATGAATACTGAATTATTCACTCATATGATATTAAAAATGAATGAAAATGTATAAATACACTGTACGCTGTATTTACCTAGAATGCACGCATGTTGTCCCGGCCTTCATTGTATGAATACTTATCTTGATTACGGTTAGAGATATTTTTGCTCACCTTCCAGTGGCAGCGAGGCAGAGGCGGAAGTCCGGTGACGATGTGCTTAATACAGCTGCCAAGGAAAAGGAGAAGAAGAAGGAGACTTCCCCAGGGTTTTTCGATTACATCGGCAGACGACCGCGCTCCAAGTCTGATGCCTCGCGTGTTGGAAAGAAAACTAATATCATTACGTCAATGAAAAACGCAGTCCAGGTGAGTTGTTCCATTTCTTTTGTTCTAATTTTACTTAATACTGGCAGTGTGTTGTGGTAATAGTTGATGCTTGTAACAGTACTGCTTAGTTTTGAGGAAAGATGTCAGACATTTTTATTACCCTGAAATTATTATATTGTACTGAATAAAACAGGAAAATGGTTTCAAGATAAAGGTAAAAAAAAATATAAATGATTGATCATGTTAACATAGAAAAGGTGTTGCATATTGTGTGTTTTATGTATTACAAGAAGTTGGAAAAGAAATGTAAAATGAGATCATGAGGAATAAGGAATGAATTTAAACTCTTAGATACATGAGGACAAAGGATGTATTATATTGTACTGAACAGATATTAAAAGGTTGAGAACAGAGAGTAAAGGAAAGAAGAATGTAAGGGTTGTAACATATTGAAGATGCTGAAGTGCTGATTTTGAAGCTAACAAATGTTACGATATGAATGTGATGAAAATATGAAGCCTTGGTCTTCAGGGAGGCGGTGATGTGCACGAGGTAGGAGAGAAAGTTGAAGGGGAAAATGGATGTGAAGAGATAATAAACACATTAGAAAGGAGAATGATGGGATTGTGAGTAAGTATATGTGATTATTATTGTTTGTCTTAAGTATTTCCTGTTGCCTCCGATACAGTACTTGTCCTATGCTGTTCAACTCTTTTCATTACCAACCCTTGCCCACATCCTGAACAAATGTGGGAGAGGAGTAATGATGTTAAATAGAAAGTATAGAAACGCATGCGAGGAGAGCAGGTGACTGGAAATTTTTATAAAAGAAGGGAGGTTTATGATGCTTCACAAGTGTGTGTGTGTGTGTGTGTGTGTGTGTGTGTGTGTGTGTGTGTGTGTGTGTGTGTGTTTTTTGACCTGAAATACTGTACAGTAATGGTATAATGGTTAGGGGCTGGAGGAGTTAATGTAAAGTCAATAAAGGATGGAATTTAGTTTGTGTATTAGATGGGTGTTAACGGAGAGTATTAAAAGGATCTTGTTAGGTTTTGAAAGAAAGTGGTGTACCTAACAAGCTTATGGAGGGGTGTGGGTGGGCTGTGAGGATGATCATTTACAAAGTATTAAAAAAAAAAAATAACAGATACAAAGGAAGTACTACATGATACACACATTCAGATGGCCTATTGTATATGATTGAGAGAAAGACCAGTAGAAATCAGGAAGAGCTTTTGTTGTGGAAGAAGGATTTTATTATGAGAAACAGGGTTATAAATGATTAGTTTTGGCTCGAATATGGGGCAGATTAGGATGTACAGTGTAACAGTATCAATTTGATACGAGCGATGGAATAATGAGAGATGTTTCATTAATATAAGTTAAGGAGTAGTCTAGTAAGATTAGATAAAAGCAAAAGGGATTGGACAATGATGTTACTGTGTTCAGATGATACTCTGTTGGTGAGTGAGAAAGGTGAACTCATGAGGATTGTGGAAGAGGACGTATATTGAGGTAAAGATAAATTGATTGTTGTTTGGTTTTTTCAAGAGGTGGGTCAGAGTGTAGGATACAGCTAGAATGAGAGAATTTGGTGAGGTTCCAGCGTTTCAGTTATCAGGATGTCAAGAAGCAACTGACAGTAATGTAATAATTGGCAGTTTATAAGGTTCTCTCCTGCCACTCTATCCTGGTTGGCTTGAATCTCACATGCCACATCTGAAGTCAATGAAGACGAGACTCAGGTTGTCAGGTTCCATTTTATGATAGGCTTATTCTTCCTTATGGTACAATAATGATGCACCAACTCCTTGTACAGCTTGATTGTTTCACTGTTCTTGTAACTCGTATTGATGACATTGATGAGGTTTGCTAAAGACGTCAACATAACCTTGGTCATGCTAGCTTGATAGCTTTACAGGTACAATTCACCCACAAAACTCCTGTTGTCGCTCATCCTGAACCACAACCCCCGAGATTCAGACTCGTGAATCTGAAGCATTTATGGACAGAATAATGCATCAGTCTCTACTGCTTTGGTTTCATGAGTCTGAGTCTTATGGTTCGTAGTTTAGGAGGAGAGGCAACAGGACTTTTGTGGTTGACTGTACCACTGAAGAACAATCACACATTTCTCTTCTTTATCCTTCCTCAGTCATAAGATGGGGCATTACAACCTCAGTCCATTCATTTCAGGCCTGCTGTGGAATTATGGAGAGAGGAAATTGTTAGGAGTGATATATGAGAGAATTATCTAGGATAGAAAGAATGATTGTCTGAGAAGATGATGGATGAGTGACTAGAATGTTTGACAAGGTGATAGATGAGAGCTTAGAATAGTCAGATTGAAGTAATAAATGACAAGAGGATGAAAGAGAAAGTACATAAACGAAATGAAAAGGATCAGATGAGGAGAATCAAGACTGAGGGGTAAGAATAGAGTGAGAGATCATAAAACAAGATGGACGTTAGTTGGGGGGGTGTTCAAGTACAGAAATTCTTATACAGTCAACCCTCGCTTTACGCGGTCCCACTTTACGCGTTTCCACGTTTACGCGGTACCCTGCCGAAACCGGAATGCTCACTTTCCGCGGTGTGTGTACCCTTTTACGCGGAGAGCGGCGCGAGCAGGGTGCGCACAAGGTCGCCCAGTCATCAAAACATTACCGAGTTCTTCACCCGCCACCCACCACAGCCGGCCCAAGTCAGTGATAGTGATAATGATAGTGAGGATATGGACTTATATGGACTTTGAGGGGTTTGACAAAGAGGCCCTGCAAGCCTCTGTGGTGGATAGTGATACAATTGATACAAGTGATTCAGGTGAGGGCCAATAATCTGCCCTCTGCCTCGGAACCAACCCCCATCCCCGTGTGCCCAGCCATCTTTTCTACTAATGTAAGTGTTAAAAACCTAATATTATTGATATTTCTCTTAATTATTAATTGTGTGTGCATACCATCATAAAATTAAGAAGTTATTTTTACTACAACGTAGGTATTGTGTCTGAAAAAGTGGAGTTTGGGGGTCGGCCCGGTCTCTATTTCAATTAATCCCATATGTTATGTTGTTCACTTTACGCGTTTCTCACTTTACGTGGGCCGCCGTGGGTTGAATTAACCGCGTAAAGTGAGGGTTCACTGTACCAGATTTTGCATAGATTGTAGAAAAGGATTTAATACAAATAAAAGGCTTGACTCATTTAAAAAGAAAACATTAGAACAAGTACTGATCATTCTTAATATTAAAAACTGAACTGTTTTGAAAATCTTGGTTAAACTGTTAAACTTATTTAGAAAAATATGTTATGGTTTTCTGGTAATAAGTCAAGTGAAAAGGTAAACAGTATTATCAGACTACAGTGGACTAATTAATAAGGATTATCAAGCCAACCTCTGTCTTTATTGTTTGTACATTAATATAAGCTCCCAGGAAGAGTTGTAACACCATAAACAGCTGCCAGGAGGCAGACAGATTCCTAACAAAAGCTGGTACAGTATAAAGTGACTAATTCTTTTGGTGAACTTGACAAGTAAAATCTGTGTTGCACAACATTATGACCACTGTCTTGGAGGAATACATGGGAAAGTAGGCCCCTCTGGGTAGGTCTGCATGTTACAACACAGAGTAAATATACTGTATATATAACTGGTATGGCAACTCAACTCTAATTGCATCCCTCACGTCAAATTTGGTTCTGTAACTGCAAAGGATGAAGCTTGTTCAGCAGGTGATGAGTATTTCATGGCATTATATCATATTGCAAAATTTTATGCTTAATTTTACAGTTTTCATTGTATGTCTGATTTAACTTTGCATTATTTCAATCTGGTGATATGATTATTAAACCGTGTAACACCGTGTAACTGGGTCATATAATGTGGTAACAGGAAACAACATTTACCTCCCAGAACACTGCCCCACTTATGAGTCATTTGTCATGACTGCATCAAAATACACTTGGCATAAACAGAATCATTAAAACTAACTTTGCCATCAGTCAAGATTACTGTGAACTAGAGAATGTAAGTATGAAAATCCTTAAACAAAGCAGGTTCTCGAAAGTACCTAATGTGACATACAATGATACATTATTATTACAATACAGTATTCCCAAACTACATACTGTAACTATCCTTGAAGGGGAGTATTTATGGCTTCCTTGAATATAAAATAAAATATATAGAAAAAGCCAGTCTCCTGAGAGTGTCTGAACCATAAGAGGGAACACTTGTCTCACTCACCCACCCATCCCAGGAAAGAGGTGGAACTATGAGGTGTTGTATGGGAGGGAGATGGACGTACAGTACAGGGTCAGCGGTGTGTGTACGTGATCATAACAAAATAACACAGCTTGTTATTTTTTAACTAAAAATAGTTAGACTATGTTGCAAATACTTCCAGATGTGTGTTGCAATCACACTGAGACAAAAGCAATTTATTTTGGTGTTTGTTATACCATAAACCTATTACTAGTCTGAAATCCCCAAAGAAACACTAGAATTTGTAACAGGAAAGAAGATATTAAAGGTGATAGGTTCATCAGTTATCATAAACTTCATCCCCAAAAAGAAGAAAATTTTTACCTTGGCTGATTAATTAGCCCTATGCCTACCTTTCCTGGCTCATATGCTGACCACCATTTTCAAAGTAAGGTTTTCCTTGCTTTTCTTTCCATCAGGTCCTACCTCAAGTAGCACTGCTGGTCATGTGATTCTGTTCACCAGTCCACAGGGTAACACCTGGTCACTCACTCATACAGTGTTGTAGGCCTCCTGTGCTTATATGGTTTACTCTCATCATGCAGAGTGGCCCTGTATGGTCAGTGACCAATTTGACAGTCAATCTCCTTTAAACAAATGCACTAAAGCTCCATTGGACAGCCTCTAAGACCATGGAGAAAAGGAGTCCAACTTTTTCTTTTATTCAGTTGTTAGAAAAGGTGGATATTATGATGGTGCTTGGATTAAGGTACAAGAGGTAACTTAGGTCATGTTGTGTACATGAAGAGCTTCTATCTACCTGTTTTCTCTGCTGCTTTCTCACTCTTCTGTGGAGTGGGTTAAAGAGTACTGGAACCTCTTGAGAGAGGGTAGAAATAATAGAGAAAATTGATGCAACGAATGTAGAAAACAGGAAGTTAGGGCCACGATAACAGATAGAAACATCATCACAAACTGTCAATCATCACAAACTGTCATTTATTTGTGTTCTCAACTTGCTTATGCAGTATCCTCAGGGTATTTGTGTCCTCCATGTTAATCTCAAAACCCTTATATCTGTCCATTGTGTAAACTATTTTGAGATGCTGCAGGTTCTTTAAGATCTTAGAGGTCAGCCTGAGGTGTTTAATTGAAAACTGGATTATCTGTGTGTTGCCATGCATAACCTTGATTAAAAGAGACAGACAGTAAAAACTATTATCTGCACTGTACCACATGAACAAACTGTTAGTCCTCTATACTGATGGAATTAACTGGGAAATAAATACTTTGACCTTTACTGATATACTGTACCAACAAATTGCACTCTACTATATACTGTACCAACAACCAGAAAATAAAAACATGACAGTTTATTACAATACCAACTAATTTTAACGAGACTATAAATGTATCAAAAGCCACCTGGATACATGTCACTGATTCTCCATCCTTTGAGGACTGAGGTAATACCTCCACCTCCTACAGTTGAGAATGAAGTGATGTTGATTGATACAAATAACCACATCCCTTTGAAGCTGACCTATACACACTGATCAACCACTGAGGTCAGAGAAAGACTCACAGACAGACAGACCAATGGGCAGAGGCAAATGTATTATATGTTCTGTGATGATATAAATAATCGGCATAGGTCAGTGACACACAAGGTTGGTGTTGCTGCTTATGACTTTATGTCACTGAAAAAAAAATGGTTTTTGGAACAGAAAAGATGTTGTTCATCTCCAGGTGAACATGAAATATTACAGGTACAGTACTTGTTCTGTCAGGGAGTGTTGACAGTACACCTTCAATAGATGTAGTTGTTTAGAGAACTATGTAGTGACAGGTGATGCATTGTTTTGCTGTAGAAAATGTAGAGGCAAAAACATGAACATCTGGTATGTTGCTTTAGGAAAGTTATTAAATAAATAGTTTGAAATAGAATTGATTGATTTATTAGATCCTATATATTATCTAATGCTAGAAGGTGTTGACAATTATTCATGTTATATTGATGTACATAAAGTTATTGCATGTTTTTTTTATTATTCCTAGATGTTATCTATTTAAAATAATTTCCCTTTTTTATTATACAGTACTGTATATGTTGTTTCACTGATTATTCCTTTTAGGTTATGCACTATATATAGTTGTTGTTATCATAAAGCAATGTCTAATATAATTATTTTTACGTGTATTGGAGGGTGAAGGTAAAGGTAGTATCAACTGTGGTTAAGATACAGTTCCTAATTTGATGTCTAAATGGTCAGTTCCTTATGAATGTTTTCTACCATGAACCTAGATCCCATTTATTGACTGAGTGCATCAGGAGTTCCTGGGTGTACCAGTGAATTATACTAAATGTGTATATTAATTTTTATCGATGGAATATATGTACCAAGATCTTCTATTCACAAGGCTTTGAGAATTACATGTAGATACTGTAGTGTCTCCTGAATGCAATCATTGCTAAGCCTGCATGGCTGCTAACCAAACATCCATGCATCTCTTCATCCCTATGCACCTTAAAGAACTGGAGTGATGAGAAGGAGCGTAGGAGGAGGGAGCGTGAGGCTCAGCGGCGGGAGAGGCAGTTGATGCTGGGTCGCTTCTCCATGTCGTGTCAGGTTAGGTCACTGTGGTATCAGGACTTGTAGGTACAAGTTCAGGTGGTGTGCTGAGGCATACTCTGTTTCTGCTTAGCTTTGCTTTATCTCTTAAGTATAATAATTGGAGGAAGAATATTGTTGTTAATCAAAATTTGATAGAAAGTCATTACAAAAAACATTTGGCTTTTTTCATAAATTTCATCCAGAAAGATTCAGAGACATTGAGAGTAAGGAGAGTGTGCCTCTGGAGGTTCTCCCCTCCCTTCTAATTATTGAAATTATATCACTCAAGCTTTTGTGTTTTTGTGACTCACTGTGTGTATCAGCCCTTTGCTGTGTGCAAAGTATGTTTTATACAGTAATACTGGTAACCTTGATCAGTGATCTCTGCCTTGGTTAATACAGAAAATGCATTGAGTAGAGCATTCAACTGTAATGTATGGCAGTTTTTCAATGTATGCTTAATATTCTCTTGGCTTAGTATATTTTGAGTAGTTTTAAGATATTATAAGTCATTGTTAAAGTCATATTCTAAAGATTTTCAGTATTATTCTAAGAAGTGTGTTCACTCTAAACTTCTCTATGTATGTATATAAACTTGTAACTGTACTCTTGAGTGCTATAATCTTTTTCTCTTTTATTCAGTCTTTTCAATAAACTTTTAAATTCTCAACAGTTATATTATCATTTCATTTTATTTCACTTTATTAATTCATAAGAACAGTACAGTTACAGGTGTAAATACAAGTAAAGGTACAGAGGTTTGACTTTGGTAACAGTGTTATACAATACTGTACTCACAAAGTTTCTCAAGTCATTATCCCATAAGTAATGCCTGTATGCACAGTCTGAGAATTCCTTCCTTACCTTCACTAGCCTCTGTTGTTATAGTTCCACGTTACTCCACACCTGTAAATGCCTCTCTTCGGATCTTTAGCACGAACTATTACATTTATATTTTATTTCCTGTGGCAATACTCCGTCCAAACACCCCAGTCTTCATACATCAGTATATTTTTCTCTATTCACAAACGTTTTTAGCATGTTTATTTCATCCCATTATTTATCATCATCTCCGTAATCATATCTTGTGACCAAACACCTGTCCCAGGCAACTTGAGTAATGTATCACTCAGCCTGTGGGGTTGAACACCAGTTAACCACTTAAAAGGGATATTTAGAAATAAAAGTCATCATATGAAGTAGATGACGAGTCAGGACATCATAATTGATAGTTTTCACTACACCTGCTGTTTGGCTTGGTCATAAACTGTCATTTCAGGTTTCAAATGTTAGTGTCAATCACCTCTCTGTGCTGTTTGGATGTCTTGGATGACATCTTATTTCCAAGTCTTATTTCTAAAGAACTCTTTTCTTGAACTTAGTTATGATGGCAAGACTTAGCTCATTAAAAAATTCCCTGCCACAAATGTTGTGCAGTTAACATGGTTTTCCACCACTGTGAGTCACCTGGACAGTCTTGGTTGTAGAAATGGATATCAGGATCAGTCCTCCATTTCTCTGTCTCATACTCTTTTCAAATCTTCCTTTTACTTTATCTTCGTTCATATTTCTCCAGCCACCTCATAACTCTATCTTTCATTTTATTGGTGTTGTGGACAAAGGAAGGCAGCCATCCATGCACTCGCCTACCACAGTTCCTAGAGAGTCACCCACCATGGTGCTCCCATAAACAACTTTACTCACTCCCACAACTTTGGTCCACATCAGATTTTCAAAGTGATGAGGTTGTTTAAGGCTTTCATCTACTAATGTCACAAAGATTTGATGACAATCCATCTTTGATATTGTATACTTCCCTCATGTCATTTTCTGAAATGGTCCCTCTTATTAGAAAAATACTTTTATTCATCTGGGTATTTCATTTTCATCCCCATTCAGTTCTTCATTCATAATTCATAAACCATTTTCACCAGTCTTAAAGTTTTCACAAACTTTTCCTCATTCATACGGTGTATTTATTACCATTGTCTCCAATCTTTTGAAATCGTTTACACCATTGTCCTGGCTCCAACCATGTTGTCTCACTGTATCCTCAAAACTTTCACCTTCTGTCTCATCTTGTAATACTGTATATTCATACTGTACTCTAGTGTACATTAATTATTATAAAAAACTTTTAGCACTTTCACATTCTGATAATTTTTTCCCTTCCTTCCACATCTGTTGTACTTCTTAAACTGCTTCTCACACACACACACACACACACCCTGAAATATTGTGTGCATGTCATGTACCCCGTCATGCCGTAAATACTTTCCAGCCACTCAACCTTGAGTTAATGTTTTCACAACTCCTTGGTGCTTAAATTTGTTTTAATATTTGTATTTTAAGCATTACTGTATTTTACCCTTTACCAAATTGTATTATGGTCTTAAAAATTTACTGTTATTGTTTCATAGAATATGAATTTATTTTGAATGATGTACTGTATTAAGTATGTGTGGCAGAGCAGGAAGAGGATTGAAAGTCAGAGGAGCATGGTGGAGCAAGGAAGTCAGAAGGGGTGTTATTGAATACAATGAGCACAGAGGATACAACATTTAGTATTTGAAGAAAAGTAAAAAATGAGATAGCCAATCAACCGTCATGCTCTGAAGAAGTAACTGATAAATAGAATGAAAATTTTATGATTTTATGAGAGAAACTAGAATATCAGCTGTAGAATAACTCATAAGGTTCTAGACTTTCAGTACAGTGCATGAGATTAAAGTTAAACAGAGAACCAGGTATTCTATCAAGTCATAAGCCTGTACACAGATCTGGGAGATTAGAGATGAAAGTGGGAATGAGAGGACGTCTTGATTGATCAGACAGGATATGAGGAAAGAGTGTAAAAAGGTAGAACAGTAAGTCGTGTGAAGTACAGTACAGTACAGTAGGTCAGACAATAGTGATAATACTGAAGGGAAGCTGTGTATAGTATTGGGATTTTCATGGGTATGTCTTAAGAGCATGGAAGGAATTTGCTACATGCTGTAGTAGATTAGGAAAGCAATACAAGAAGTGAAATAATATAAGACTTATGGAATAGATCACTCAGCTGGGATAATTTTGAAGGAAATGCACGAAGTGGTGCTCTTGTGGAGTGTATAAAAGTATGAATAAAAGTGTGATACTGTTTACCAATTAACTCAGTTAACTAAATTCCCCTTTTTGCAAATACATTGTTTTTAGAATACAGTACAGTATATGTAATGACTGAGAATATATATGAGGTGAGTTGTAGTGTAATATAGAACTTAAGAAATGAAGTGTTGTTGCTAGGAGAGATGTTTAAAGAGAATAATTAATAGTGTACAGTACTATGGGTGTGTGGGTCAGATCTTCAGGAAAACTGATTGCTGTATTTTACAAATTTGATATAGAAATCATTAAACAGTCAGATGTGTGTTTATTATATACTGTATCTAGCTTTCTTAGCTGAGAAAATATTGGATGATAATGCCATGTAATGTTTTATATATCTCATAAATGTGTTTGTAAAAGTTGATAGGGAAATAATGTAAATTAAGTTAAGAATTTTTTGTGTGGGAGGAAAACTAGTAGAGGTACTGAGAGATATCGACAAGAAAGCTTTATTGTTTTAGAAGTACATAACAGAATTTAGTGAATTAGGTAAAGGTAAAGTTAAATGGAGACAAGGATACATAATATTGTGTTGATTATCTGGTATCTATGTTCATTGTGTCATGGCATATATAGAGAATAATAATAGTGCTAAGGATAATTTTGTATGTACAGTATATGATAAAACCAGTAGCTGAAGTTTGGAAAGATTTATGAATAGTGATGGAATTAAATTTAATCCGAATAATAACGACAACCAAGGGACAGTTCATTAAATTTGGACGTGTGGAATATTTTTAGCCATTTTCTTGTCCTTGATACAGTGTTCAGTAGTCATATCACCATGCAGGAAGGACAACACATCATCAGAACTTAGGATTAAAGTTTAAGCATAAAGTTTTTGGTGTACAGTATTAGCATAAGTACAGTACTGGAAAGGTGTGAGGGATGACTTATGTATCCATGTTAACTTTACCTGCACCACTTTATATTTCATGCCATATTACAAAGAAAACATTGAATACTATTGATGTAAGTTTGGATTTCTTTCTTTGACATTCGCAGTTTGTTGAGATCATTGTTAGGTATTCTTCGCAGGTTACGTTCAAGATCTTGATACAGTATTTTATAAACTGGAATTACCATTGATTCTCTTGCAGTTGGAACACCGTAGCTTAAAGATTCTTAGTTAAGGAATCAGATGGGTGAGGTCCAAGTTGCCTTGAGTGTGCTATACTACATATAAATTATGCCTAAGGATCCCTTGTATGTTGCTGTGATGCCTTATAGTGAAAATATTTGACCGAAGTTGTTATGTGAAGTTTGTTCACTGTATATGTTTCACCTGTACTGGATACTTGCAATGTAACCTGACCAATAGTCCATGCATGTACTGTACAGATGATGTGTTAACCTTTCTCCCTCCACCTTGTGTTGGATGTCTGTGTCGGACCTGAGCTTGGGGCACATGTAGAAGATATTTGTCTTAGCCAATGCAATGTGAGAATTGATGCACTGAATTAATTGTAAAATATGTATTGTCTAATTATTGTGGGTAGTTTTGCAGAGAGATGATAATGATGACAGTGTGACCCAAGTTCTTGTCTATTATTGTAGACTGGTAGCATGTTGTGCATGTATATACAGTATATGTATACAGTATGTGATCATAAAGCCTGAGTCATATATGAATGTGTTATTGTGTTATGTATTGATATGTGTCTGATGAAGATATAAGTATGTGTTATATGTCCGTGTGTAGTTAGTTATATGATTTGATATTTACTGTTTGGAATTTGACAGTTATTTGATGTTAACTGAAATATCTGTGGAATATTTTGAAAAGATCTATTTATGTATCGTCACCATCATCATCTTACTACCATTTTCATGCTTGTGTTGGTTAACCATATTTGAATACCTCAAAG